AAAATTGCTTGTATAAAGTCAAAATATAATTACTTTAACGTCACAGATCCAGCCTCGTACTGCTGCTGTTCTATGGCGATCATTTAAGGCCCGTTCACACTCTTACGACCGAGTACGACTGAGAGAGACGAGATCTCTTACAACTTCCTAAATGTTTTTAGAATGAGGGAACACACTGGCATTGTGGCGCCATCTATGCGGTGACCCTGGAACTGCATTTCACAAGAGCGAAGGTTTTGCGGGATTTTCGAGGTCAAATGTGCGTAATACCCATAGAAAGGCTCGTTTATAACATTGTCAAAAGTTTTTCGAGCGAAGAAAGAACGGATAATGCTCGAGAAATAAAAAAAAATATGCCGGACCGCCGAGTTTACACTGCTTCCCAATAGATGGCGCCAGTGTGTTTTCTGGTTTAACAAGTTTTAAGGAACCCAGGTTTAAGAGGTCGCAAGCAGTCGCAAGAGTGTGAACGGGCCTTTAGATGACAGACATTTTGATAGGAGGGCGCCCCCTATAGGTCGTGGAAGTTGCGAATAAAATGCAAGTACACAAATAAATAATAGAATAAAACACAACTAAGAAATAGTTATTTTCCTCTTCAGTTAGTACCTTTCTGTGAACCAATAGGGGGATAAAGAAGGAACAGGCGATTATATTACCTAAAAACCTTAAATCGCATACCTACTCCAGTTTTGCTATGTAACGCAAATTTAGACGAAAAAGTAACCAGGGTAGTTACTCTATTTCTGTTGATTCTACAGAACCGCGAAAACTCAAAAGCGAGAGCGAAAACACAAAGATAGCACTGCAAAACTGCGAAATTCGGTGAAGCGAAGTCTGGTGAAACGAATCCAGGAGAAAAGCTCACCGGAGAAAAGCTCACCCACTTTGGCGCGGGTCCAAAGAATAGCTCACCAGTTCTTTGACAGAACCGGGGAAAAGCTCACCTCGAGTTAAATTAATATGTAAAGTGGTCGTTAACATTTAATAGAAGTAGTACTACCAAGTTCTTAGGCGTCTCTCACGCAGGTGGTACACCGTGCAACAGAGTTAGACCGAAGCGATTTTTCGCATTTTACTTAGAGTTAAACTTTTATGGCACAAATTTGTGCCCAAAATTAGCAATTCCTAAAAGAAAATGTTGATTGTTTGTTTACGAAGTGGGCAAAAAATATACAAAGGAAAACAAAACAAAACAAAAAAAAACGACGAAAAGTTTGTCATCACGTCTAAGGATCACAGACTAGGCCAACTTACCTACACGCCGTGCGTACACTTCGTGTACACACTTCACATCAGCTGGAGTGCTAACAAAATAAAAAAAAAATTACAGAAATCCGTTTTTTTTATTTAAATTTCATCCGTTTGATTAAAAGTATACTAATAGCACTATGCCTATAAAATATAGACTATTTATCACTATATGCATTTTTAAACACGACAGGTTGTATGATCATGGGTCCGGAGATTTCATCGAACGCCGTTTCATCGAACACCGTTTCATCGAAGCCGTTTCATCGAACGCAGTTTTATCGAACGCCGTTTCATCGAACGCCATTTCATCGAAGCCGTTTCATCGAACGCCGCCTACTTGAACAGTAGGAATTCTACACCAAGGAAATATATTTCTTTTTAGTGCCGGGAGGATAGCAGGGCTTTAATATTTATTATAGTTTATAAACTTATACATATAAAAAAAGGAAACAACCTTTTTTTTGTCGCCTACTTCTCTTCTTTTTAGTCAATGATCATTTCTGTTGTTAATGTGGCCAATAAGAGAGGGGAACACTGACAAGATTTTTTAAAGCCTTTGATCATCAGGTGTAGTGATGAACGCACGTCCATTCAAGGGCGTATATATCTTCGCCCTTGAAGAGATCCATGCTGCTTCAAGACGAAAGCGTCCTTGAATCAGTGATCTGACTCCGTGTCTCATGATACGGGAAAAAAAAGACGTGCTTTCTCTTTTTGTTAGTTCATTGTAACCCACAGATCCTTGGACCTGCCGGATATTTGGCAATGGCATACACTATATTTACTGCATGTCGAATGTCCGACAGGTCCACGGTTCTGTCGGTTGCAATAAATTTAATTAACGAAGACGGGAAACGCGTCTTTTTTAAGAACATACATGTTCTTAGAAAGAAAACTATTCTTCTGGGATAAAAAAAAAACAAAAAAAAAACGCAGGTAGATCGACAAATACAAAATAGAAAAGAGGCTACGGAGAACGGCTCTTTCCCTTTTAAGAATAAAGTGCCTTGCACGCCTGAAGTCGGAAACAAGTGTGTGACCGAAAACAGCCGCCTACCTCGTCAGAAAAGAATCAGTCGCGTATCCACTCAAGTTTTAATATGATTGCTACCTTCTATGATTCAGTAGCGAACGTTTAGGTGGAGAACAAATTTCCCTGTTAGTAGTTCTATTTCTGGTGAATTTAGAGCGGCGCCAAAACTATTTCAGAAACGAGAGTAAATTACGTAAAAAGTATTGTATTACTCCAAAATTCAGTAAAGGGAAATTCGATGAAACGGCGTCAAGTGATTCGATGAAACGGCGTTCGATGAATCCGCCTTCGATGGAATGTCCCTCATTCGATGAAACGGCGAGAAGTGATTCGATGAAACGGCGTTCGATGAATCCGCGTTCGATGAAATGTCCACTCATTCGATGAAACGGCGTTCAATGAAATGGCGTTCGATGAAATGTCCGGTACCCATACAGAATATATCGCAATAGAGAAAGCATTAAAAATTAAAAATAAAAATAAATATTTTGGAGATTATTTTAGCGGGCAAGGTTTGATTTAAATAATCCTAGTAAAAACAATCTGATTTAGCTTACGCTTTAATTAAAATGGATTTTCATTCTCGACCATGGCTTTAGCTCTCGTTCCGCTTCTATGTCAACCTTTTTCTTGTGGGTGTTAGCGTTTTATTTGAACAAAATATATTTTATTTTGGCAGGCAACGCCTGACGTCTTACAGTATGTTTTTACATTTAGGAAAAGAAAATATTCTGCTAGTGAAGTGAAGAATGACCGCATGCGTATAAGGCATCCCAGCATACTTTAGTTGAGTGAACGTATTTCTCTTGAGTGAACGCGCGATTCTTAGATTCGTAGTTGCTTTCCTCTGCATCCGTCGAATGGCCGGTGAGCTTCCCTCCGCATCGGGCGGTTTTGAGGTGAGCTTTTCTCCGCCGCCCGAGACGGCATCAAACGATTCGATGAAATGACGTTCGATGAATGTGCATTCGATGAAATGTCCACTTATTTGATAAAATGGCGTTTGAGGTGTTACAAATGGAGTATTTGTAGGGCAGCGGACATTTCGTCTAACGCCGTTTCATCGAACGCCGTTTTATCGAATTTCTCTGTTATGGCTCTGTACCGAGTTTTGGGGCATAACAGTGCTTTATAAATGTTTCACTCTGCATTTGTTAAGACTAAGGTAGTCACTTGTGAAATTGTTTTGAAGGTGGTGACAAATTACTAAAATAATAACAATTGGCATCAAAAGAAATAAAAACAATTAGGAATGCTACTTACTCTGCGCTTTTTTTTTTCTCTCATTTTTAACTGTTTCATGTGACATGGAGAGGGGTCATTGTATCATGGAGGCTTTCTTTTGGAAGCAGGATAAGTTCACAATGGAGTTTGTCTCGTCACTGCACCCAGTGATATAAAACCAGAAACAAAAAAAAAAAAAAAAAAAAAAAACAGAGAGAATTAGATGAAGTTGTGTATAAAAAGTAAAGCAAATTACAAAATATTACAGACTGTAACGTTGTTCGATGAAAAGGCGTTTGATAAAACGGCTTCTATGAAACGGAGTTCGAGGAAACGGCGTTCGATAAAACGGTGTTCGATGAAACGACTTCGATGAAACGGCATTCGATGAAACGGCGTTCGTTGAAATGCCCGGACCAAGTATTTGTACTATGAGGCTAAACAGACCCAACCTGAAATAAACGCAGTTGCACTGGAAAATATGAAAAAAAAAATAATAAAACGTTCAAAAGCAGGGTTCAGTTTTCGGTACGAGTAGATCGTTGGATGGTGCTAAAAATCAACAAAACCTTGGCAAAGCAACAATTTTAGTCTGCACCCGGGAATATCTACATCGAGAATAAATTTAATCGAGTCTGTTTCGTGCACTCTTACGTAGTGGGAAGTTGTAGTAAATCGCGTTTTCAGGTCCGTCCCTTTCAAACGGTATTTCGAAGAAGAAACGCAAGTTTTCGTAGTGGCATCATTTTAAGAAAACACGGAGCGCTAGAACTTCCTGTGTTTCTAATTAAATACAAAATAATTAATAATTCCGTAATTATCGTTTAATAATCTCTTATTTAAGCTAGATATCGCTGGCCCCAAAATATTTCTTCCGAGTCCGCATTTCAAACTACTAAGCCGAGAAACCGGAATCAGCGGAAACTATCCGATGATTCACCAAGCGCGAAACGACAAAAAACGCCCGCCACAAACTAAAAAAAGAAAAAAAAAGGTCTTAAAAAAAGCCAGGGTACGGGAAACGAGGAAAATGAGGTCACTTATGACGATGACCACTCCCCAAATGCGCCACGAAAAAATAAAAGAAGAGCCTCAGCATTGTTGACTGCGTCCACAAAAATTTCTCTGCTCTTACACTGTGTCCGTCTATTTCTGAAAAAAACTTGAATCTTTCTTTTTGCTTTTATCTTTTAGGATTTGGATTATTCATACGTTGAACGGCCCACAGAGATTCCACAAGTACTGAACTGCTATTGGTTGAGACGTCTCAAAGCCCTCCCCGGATAAAGTCACTTCGGGTATTGGGACACATCAGCGAAACCTTCCCGGAGGTCAGGATAATGGAGCGGCGTCCTCCGCTTAGTGTAGATTTCGAATGTAGTCAAACTCCGCTTACTGTATCACATTTTTGAGGATGACGAACAGGGGGAGAGGGAAAAGAGAGGTCTTAAAACTGGCGGACGTTGCGACGGCGCGCACACGTCCTTCTCAAGTTCTGCACTTCGGATCCCTCCTCCCCAAATTCAAGATGCAGGCGGTTCTCGTGCTCGTCCTCGTGGCGGTTTCTTGCTCTACCACGTGGGCTCAAAACGGTAAGTTTTTTTGTTCTGCTATTCCTTAACAGCATTTGCTAAGCTTTAATGTTTGCAGAAAGCTACAGTCGAGTTGTTTGGTTTGAGGAATTAGTCGATGAGAGCTGTTTTGAGGATTGATCCAAGAGACATGAATTTCGTTTGGCGTAGCTTCGCACAGGTTTCTTGATGTTTGCCAACGCAGAAAAGCGGCAAAAGTTTGGATATCGCGCCCTGACCGCACTTTGTTAGATCGCATCCGCCTTCCATGCCTTCTGTATGCCTTCAGTTCTAGGCGTAACTTGCGCATAACCCTCATCGGTGCTCGTCATTAATTTAAATTAGTCTGTTAAGGTCCGTTCACATACACGAAAGAAAGGTGTCAATCAAGCAGCGACAAAAATGCATCGTAAAAACGCTCGTTTTTTTAAGAGCGAAGCTCCTTAGGGGCTAGCCATGTCCGTCCGATGTCCGGCGTCGGGCGCTCGTGCTCACGAGCACGTGCTCCCGTAGGGCAAAAAAAAAACAAAAAAACAACAACCGCATCTCCACGTGGTGAATGATGTTTATTGAGGCGAAGCTCTAGTGGTGCTTGTCTGCGTAGACGGCGAGTTGCAGCATGCCGAGCCTTTCGTTCGTTTTCATCCATGTCAGAAAGAGAATGTGTGGTATGGAACGCAGTTATATACGGATTTGAGCATTTGACCGCGGCGTGACATGAATGAAAACGAACGAAAGGCTCGGCATGCTGCGGCTCGGCGTCTACGCAGACAAGCACCACCGGAGCTTCGCCCCAATCAACATCACTCACCACGTGGAGATGTTTTTTTTTTTTTTGTGGTTGTTTTTTTTAGAAAAAAAAGGGGGGGGGAAGGGGGTTGCTATAATCGCTTAAACCATTCACGCACCCGAATGCGCCGTGATCGTTTGCTTTTTCCTGTGCGTGTGTGTGGTTTAGCCGGTGATAGCAAAACTCCCCAAATGCAACGAGCGCTGTGACAAAGCACGCTTGGCACTTCTCGATTGGCCGCAGTCTGACTAATCTGAAAGCGAGCTTAGCTCCTGATCCGAACACGATCTGCCACGACTCCCTAATACGAATACTTGAAAGGATAAAACATCGAGGACGGACACAGTACTCTTCTCCTCATTGAGCAACAACGTAGAATGACACAAAATATAAAACCGCCCCCCCCCCCCCCCCCCCTTCCTTTCCCTTCCAAGGGTTTCAACGTTCTCGTAGAAGGAAAGGAGAAAATCAGTGAATCCCTAGCGCCACGATGAGTCCTCTTGGTTGTTAGGAATTCAACCTCTGTCTTTGTCAATGATAATGAGGATGCAGAAATCTGCCTGTTCATTCTCACTCCGAACGCTCGAAGATTCTGGGCCAAATTTTCGAGACGTCGACTCGGACCAGATAAGAAGCAGTGCGTGATTGCTGTTACACCGCCAATGTGCCGCCCGCATTTCTGCCGTTCGCAGCACACTCTTTATTTCATTTGGTACAAGTTCGCCCTGTTAAACTTTCAGTTTGTGACGGGATTATCGTCGCTTCTGCTCCTGTCATTCGTGACAATATTGCACGTATGAACTGATTATTGGTAGAAAACTATCTTCGAAGAAGCCGCAAAAATACAAATCAAACAATAAAAGTGGGTTTTTTAAAAGCAGTATACTTCGTTTCACCTCTGGTCCGAGAGCGGCCGACTTTATAAGCCGAAGGGCCAATCAGATAGCGCAAAAAGCGCAACGTCATGGCGTGCTCTCTGCGCTTAATAAGACTAACCGGCGGAGGAGAACGCACAGAGAGACTGCGTACACCGGCTGGTCCTATCAACTGCAAAGAGCACGCCATGACGTTGTGCCTCCTTCGCAATTTGATTGGCCCATCGGCTCATAACATCGGCCGCGCTCGTACCTGAGCTGAAACCAAGTATAGTCCCAAACTGCCAAGTTCCTCAATTTTTACGAATGCACTCAACCGACTGATTTTCACGTAATTAAAGAACTTCTTTTCAGTTTTCCTTAAACTCCAAAATTATAAATATAACTTTCAATTGCTCCTCAACACGATCTTAAAGGTCCACTAAAGACTTTTCTGAGATCGAATGTTCTTGGGGATAACTTATCTTACGGTCTCCAATCCAAAAATTATGCTTGTGCGACGTCTATTTCCCTACTAAAAATGTGATATGTTGGTGCCAGGCCCCTTTCCGAGAAAAATATCTGGACCACAGAATCCAGCGGCGCTTCCGCTTGCGATAGTCTGATGCGCTTCCTTCGTCACGCCGCCGGCGCCCCCGCTCAATTCTGTGCTCCAGATTTTTCCACTCAGGAAGTGGCGTGGCGCAAACTTCAATCACATTTTAGTATGGAAATCGACGTCGCACGAGCATAGTTTTTCGACTTCTGGGTTGCTAAAGATCCCGTAGAATGATCACCAAAAAACAGACGATCTCAGAAACGTCTTTAGTGCACGTTTAAAACTTCTATTCGTTTTTTTTTTTTTTTGTGTGTGTGTGTGTGTGCAATAACTGTTTATTAATTGTTTGACGGCTTGTATGGCCTCTCCTTTTGGGGGCAGCAGCGTCGGATCCAAGAATGTATTATACAGGTAATCCTGGTGATATTCCACTGTCCGATGATAGAAAAATGCGGAGGGGAAGCATATTGGCGTAGAGGGGCAAGGGGATGAATCATACTTTTGGTTTCTAGCCTGTAGGTGGCGCAACCTACCGCCCGTTTTAGAGCCATTAGCATCCACCCATTCATTGACAAACCGGTGATCACTTTTTGACGCTGACGTTGAGACGGTGAAGGTTTTAGGAAGCGAATGGCGGCGCAAAGAAAAAAACTGAACTGGAGGACGCCATTTTTTTTTTCAGCGAAATGTGGTTTCGTCATTTGTATTGGTTCTCGTTACTTGTAAAAAGTATCAAGACGCTTCTCCATGCTTACTTTCCCTATCCTAACTGCGCAGTGGTCGGAGCCGAGGCGCTGGCCGTGCGTCCGTGCCACGCCGGCGAGGTGTACAAGGAGTGCGGCATGGGCTGCGACCGTCGGTGCGGCTTCTCGACCATCAACGTGCTGTGCGTCCACGAGTGCGTCGAGGGCTGCTTCTGCGACACGGACCTGGTGCGCAACGCCACAGGACACTGCGTCACCACGCAGGAGTGCGACCTCCAGCTGCAGCAGTCTCAGCAGGTCGTCAACAACAGGACGGTCACCGAGCTGCCCCCAGGTATTTACGCGCATGTGAATTCCACCCGCTCGTCGGCGGATGTGCCGCGGAGCGTGATCGAGTCTCGCGTGTTTGTTTGCTTCTGTACCACACGGAAGACGAGGCTGGTGCATCTTCTCCTCGAAAACCACGGTCACCATTTTGCTCGTACATCATACAAATGATGCGGTGCTCGCAGCAAATGCGTGGACAAGCCTCAAGCTTGTTCAAAACATCTTTGCTTCACACATGTGTGCTTCCAATACACCTAAAATGTTTTCAGTCATACAGGGAAGTTACACGCGTCAGGCAATGTTTGCAGACTGGCTTTTGTACGATGTGCAGTGCTGCCGCAAAGCCATTCGCACAGTTGCCGTTGCGTTGCGACTGCGGGTCACCAGGACATCCGTGCCTAGTGTGGCGCGTGCTAGATGGATGGATGGCTGGATGCTAATGGCTGCACACTTTATAACGGGTGGTAGCTTGCGCCACCTAGCCAAGCTACTCGCTGCATTGGTTGCCACGCTTCATAGGAAGTACGGATGGCCCACGGACTCGTCGTCAACAAGAAGTTTTTCGCTAGTATTTCGGAATCTGGCGCTATTCGAGAGCTCAGACGGCCGTCAGCCATTTTGCTGTTGGGAAAATTAAAAAAAATCGCATAACCTTTGAATGAAATAACGCTGAAACTTGGAATCTAGTTCGGACCGCTAGAACTGCATTTTGGCTACGAAGGAGTGTTCGGCGACGAGTACTTTATTTTTGCATTAAAACAGCCCTAGACGTTTAAGGGAATAATTAAGAAATTAAGTAACGAACATATAAGTAACATCCCAGGAACTGGAGCAAGTCTTTATGGCTGAGTTAGCTACTTGTCTTGTTTGAAGCCCAATGACACTTTTCACGCCCATTTTAGTACGCGAGATACGGTTCTTGTTGACGTAGCGTAATGGTGTGCGTTTATTGGCGTCGCCGATTTAGCCGACCTTCCCACGCATGTGTGCTTGGAATAATCTACAGCCACTGCTGTCCGGGGCGTGACTTTAACGCAGGATTCGTTCTTCGTTGTTCTTATCGACTTATGCCCAAATCTCTTTGGCCAAGTAGTGATAGCGAGAGGATCGTACATATTTATTGCATAGAAAACTAAAGCTTTGTTTTCTATAGGATATTGTTGTTCAGAATCGTCGTCTGAGAAAATGAGCAAGCACTTTTTTCAACATAAGAGTAACGGGCCGCATCCGTTCTTTTTTTTTTTTCTTATTTCTTTTTTTTTTTTTCTATGTTGGATTCCGATGGAATGTCTAATGCCAACTTTTTCCGACACGCGTATGCAGACAAAAAAGATTCCGTTATCTCTAACCCTAACCACCTCTACTCTCCTCCAGTTCCGGCTGTGGACCCCCGCTGCCGGGACCCGCGCAAGGAGTACAAGGACTGCGGCAGCCCGTGCGTGCCTACCTGCGAGCAGCCGGACACCAAGGACGTCGTCTGCGTCGACATGTGCGTCAAGGGCTGCTTCTGCATGGATGGCTACTTGACCACCGCCGACAAGGCCTGCGTACGACCCTTCGAGTGCGCACCAGTCGTCTAGTCCGCCGTTCTCTTGCCCGCTGCCGCCAGAATGCGTCGAACCCAGCCAACGCCATCTAGGCAGAAAGTCGTGCTGCTAGAGCTTTCACGTAACCTACGCTAGGCCAAAGCGGGACAGTAGTCGGAGAAATTTTTGGTAGTAAGGTAGCAGTCGTGAATTTTCTTGGCTTTCTTCTAAAGAAAGCCAACGCGGGGCAGGGATTGGACAAAGCGCTCCGTCACTCAAGGATAGCGAGCAGCACACCTGTCCGGTTTCTGCGCCTCGTTGGCCTTCTAATGATGCCATAAGTTCGGCACTAGGGCCTTGCTATGCGGAAGATGTTGCTGTGCCCTGGAGGCTCCAGCAGTAGGGCCTTTCTTCCTCGGTGGATACGGTCCGGTGACACCGGCAAGCTCTTGCTGGTGCGTGGTTCGCCGATGGTGTCGGTGAAGAGCGCTTGCCAGGTTGGACGATGCGTTGTTGGACTTCACACTTGCTTCGTCACTCGCTGTTCAAATATGAATAAACTAATTTATTCTCGACGAAGGAGTATTTTTCTTGTTTTGCTAACCTCCGGTCCGTTCATCTCCGGACTCCAATTGGGTTGCATCAAGTAAATTGGGCACAGAGCAATATAAAGGGGCACATTGCATTTGATTTTTTTTTTCAGTTATTCATTTTGACCCATTCAAATTCGTGGAAATCTGGGTAGATCGCGGGTAGAGCAGAGCACGCCGTTTTCTTCGTGCCGTAATCCTAAACTACAGAATGCACAAACCTCAGGAGTGCCAACGTTTGTTTAAGGTAAGCTCCTTTTACCACTTTCCACTTTAGCAGAGCGAGCGCTGGAGAGGCAACATACTCTTCAGTGTTCTATCTGCTAAAGTTAAAACCGGTGGGGGTTGCTAGAGTTCCAATTTTCCTGTGTCCCGCCTGTTGACTTGTTGACTCCTTTAGGGGAAGGGCAAAGCGAGGCCTTGTGCACTAAAAAAACGAACGCGTGGCGGATCTTGCCTATACAACAAAATCTTCGCCGTGAATCAAACCTTTTTCTTTAGAATGCCCGGCTTTTGTGACATGTACATTGTTAAAGGGGCGGTGCAACGATTTTATGATTAAAAGAATTTGCATCTCGTCATTTTTATGTTGTTTATCGTGTCCCAGAGGATAGAGAAAACACCTCCTTCATTAAAAATGTCGCGATTCCGCTGCCTAATCGCAAAGCAAAAGCCGAGCTTTTTCCCCCAGCTGGAGCCCCAAGTGGCAGCCGAAGGAACTACGGCGGAAAGATTACGTGACCTCGCTCGGCTCTAAGCTGCAGCCTAACGCCCGCTAATGTACGCAGTGAGAGGGAGGGGAAGCGTTCTCCTAGATAGCACACGGGAAACTACACGGCACTCCGAATGACGTCACTGGGAGTGCGACCAGGTGTGACCCTGAAGACTGGGAGTGAGTTGAGGGGTGCCCGAAATACCAATCTTTATCTTTTTTTTACGCAAAAAGTAGGACACGCAGGCGAAATCGGTTTTCTGTTCTTTACTTCAGAAGTGTCAGGGGGCAACTTCCAGAAATCTTTGACCGAAGTCCGGAAATCGTTGCACCGCCCCTTTAAAGCAAATTTTTCTTGCATCCTTGGCTCTTACATTTTTTTCCCACTTTTACTCCTACGGCGAGGCGGACGCTAGGAGCCATCCCAGCCAATGCGGCGTTAAGGGAGTGTCATGCGACCTTGAGCTCCCTGTGTCGCCCCCGTCGCCCCGCCCCACCGGCAGGTCACGCGCCTTTCTCCGGGCGCTGGATCGGCTCGGATGGCTCGTGGCGTCCACTGCGCCCGGACTGAAGGTGAAACGGAATATAGTATTTTTTTTATGTGAATGCCAGATTTCAAGTACAGTTTGTCCCTTTTCTGATTTAATTTTTAAACGTTATCTTTGTCAGTTGCCTGCCTTAGAAAAAACAAAAAAAATTTTGTAAGTAATCGCGAGCGCCTGCTCTAAAAAAAACTATTCCGCAATTAATCGAAAATAAACTAAAAAAACTTCAAAGGCTTGTCGAAAAGCTTCACTTCACTGAGCCAAGGAACGCAATAATTCTACTGCGGACGGCGCTGACTCCTGTGGGAAAGAAACAGGTCTAGCCAACAATATCAGCGGGGCAAAATGCATGACTTTTGAATTTTCCTCGGAGATGCTATTTACTTCAGAGAGTCTAATGTCAAATTTCACCAGTCGATTTCGATCAACATACTGAGATGGAACGGTTGATGACTGCGTTTTCAAACTTCAAATGGACTTTTTTCCACACACTTCTGAGCATCTATCTTCGCGCGTATTTAGTATATTCTGACGCCTTGTTTTTTATTGGTAATTTGAGGTATAGAGAGCACTAAAAACCGATACAACGGCACGATGCCAATGAGTTTTGACGGGTGGAGGGAGGCATGTTGGGCTGCTCTTCTACTGTGGTTTGCAGACAAAGGTTTCCAATTTCCAAGTTAGAGTAGATAAAAAAGTAAAAAGAATTGTGTCTCTCAACCTGCACCGCCAAATGGCCATAACAGGTTTAGAACAAATCAAAAATAAACAAATAGGGTCCAATGACCAAAAGTGAAATTTGTTATTCGAGCCAATTTTAAAGTACTGACGGCATCAAAACCACATGATCAGGAATGAACCGAGAAGCTCATTCGGGCATGCATTTAAGAGTGTCGCTGTTCTGAAGTCTATTCCTTTAAATATTGGTTTTCTGTCCGTCTTGGTCTATGCCCTTTGGTTATCCTGGAAGATGACGACAATGATTCATGTTTTTCTTGAAAATGTTCTGTTTAGGAGAAAATTATACGGGGTTTGTATTACTGATTAATAGATAACGTATATCATATTTCAACTTGTTTAATAATAATATGTTAGCTATGTATTTAAGTTACTTTTGTAGGTTTTTCAAAGATTAGGAGGGCCGATCACCGCAATGCCCACTGAGATGTGTATGAATTTAATATTTTATTTATTTATTTCTATTCTCTTTTATGTATTTTCTGTAACTAGGAAAGAACTAGTTCTATATTAACAGCAAGGAAACAAGAAAAAAAAATCTTTCAGCCTTTCCAATCTGGTGAAGAAGGAAGAGCAGCGGAGCTGTACAATGTGCCACCATCTTTGAGCGACGGCGGCAACCAGACAACTAACAAGCGGTTGTCTGGCTACCGCCGTCGCTCATAGATGGCGGTAGCCGTCCAGAGCGTTGTGTCAAGATTTATTTGTCCACGGACATGAAACTTAACAGCCCTTAGAGGGGTAGTGAAACGAAATTTTAGCGCCGATCTTGTTGCATAAATATGGGCTAGGGACAGGCACCACCTCGGAAATATAAATATTGCGCTGTAAAACACAGGAGAACTACTTTTAAACATAATTAAACGATTTCAAATTCTCATCTGGTGGATGGGGGGAAGTTCTCGTGACATCACTTGTGCCATAATAGCAGCGCCGTTCTGAGGCAATACGGCGTGCCGGCAGAATTCGCCTAGGCCTGAACGCGTTTGCAAAGCCTTGGCGGAGAAAGCCATAGCGTAGTTGGCCACAGTGAGCTCGTTCTCGTTGCGGCTCTTTGCACGACACGACCCGAGCACGACCCGAGCATGCTTCTGGCACGGCCGGTATTAGTTGCTGGGAGTCGCGAGCTGCGAGCCGACGTTAAGAAGGATATGTTTGAACTACGAGGGTGTCAGCAAGGGGCGGCGGAGAAAAGCTCACCGGAGAAAAGCTCACCGGAGATAAGCTCACCGGAGAAAAGCTCACCGCAAAACCGGCAGATGCGAAGAGAAGCTCACCAGACTTTGAGCGGATGCGGAGGAAAGCTCACCGATTTTTTCTTTAACTTAGCCGATTCTGCGTGAAACGTGGTAATTTAACACAATTCGCAATCGTCACTTCATTAAACTTACGTCCTCTTTTTTTTGTGATATCCTTGAAGTTCATTGGGCATATTTACTAAATTCTCAGAAATTAGTAATCAAGCATTTTGTATATTAATCCTTGAAGTTCATTGGGCATATTTACTAAATTCTCAGAAATTAGTAATCAAGCATTTTGTATATTAATGAAGCCGCGAGGGTATAAAATCTGAACATCGCTCACCGGTAAAAAAGACAACAATTTATTGACAATTGACGCCGTCGGTAGCTCTGTCAAATAAAGAGGTTTGTTCTTTGCGAGTTAATATGAAGAGCGGTGTGAACCGTTTCAGCTCCAAATATTTCGTAGTGCCTAATAGATAAGTAGGTGTTGATGTAATCAGTGTCGGCTACGCTGTTTTCTTTGTTAATTTCACTAACAAACTTCAGTTGCGAGAACAGCTTAGCCCTGTCGTGTTTGTTGTCTTCACTCCGTCGTCGTCGTCTGAGCGGTTTTCATCATGTATAACGTTTACCAACTCGCCCTATTCGCTACCTTACAGATTACTAGTTCGTATATGGGTCACGAGTAACAACGGTGAGTGTGCAGCCTAAAGGCCATCGGTGGATCACCGTAGAAGGGCACTAGTACACAAAGGCAAGGTGTAGAAACACCAGCACGAACGGCTAGAAAACGGGCATGTTCGTGCAAAAAAGAAGCCTCGATATCCTACTGACTGTTTTATACTGTTTTCAAAGATTAACAAAAGCTTCAAAGAGAATTTCAGGCACCGCGTTGTTGCGCATGCACTTTCAGATTTTCGGCATTTAGCGTTTTGATTTTTAGGTTTTAGGCAGACATTAATACGTTTTTGAACTTTTTTCTGTTCTTCAAGTTCATGAAGTTTTCAGTTAGGCTTTCGTTATGGAGTAAGCCACAGAGAACACTCCCCCGCATTTATTAATTTGTAAGCAATATACCCAATAAGCCTGACAAATAATACAAAAAATGATATTTTATTTTTCACAAAGGTGAGGAATTTTAATGGTAATAGATTAAAATATGTTACGCACGATCCAACTGCCACCATATAGAAAGAAAAAAAAATCGGTGAGCTTTTCTCCGCATACGCTCAAAGACCGGTGAGGTTTTCTCCGCATCCGCCGGTTTTGCGGTGAGCTTTTCTCCGGTGAGCTTTTCACCGGTGAGCTTATCTCCGGTGAGCTTTTCTCCGGTGAGCTTTTCTCCGGGATTCGTCAGCAAGAGCCACGCAAATACCTGTTCACACTCGGAGCGGACA